AGTTACGTGATAATTATTAATTAAAACATGTAAAATCTATCACAAAACTGTTTCCTTTTTCTAATTACTGTTTTTTTTTTATTTGTAGAGATTAATTAAACCTATATCAAGAAGTTTACAAAAGTTCAGATTCTTAACGTTTAATTCTTGAGGATGCATAAATTTTATTTTTTAATATCTCTACGTAAAATAATTTATTTTATTCTCTTTTAATTTCTATATTCTAAATTTATAGATACTAAAAAATGAAAATAGTATGTGTATATACTAAAATTGAGTGTAAAATCTAAAAGGTTAAATTTATCCGGCTATGGGAAGGAAATGAATAATTAAGCTTTCGTATTTTTATAGTATGGTTTGTTTTTGTTATTTTTGAAGAAAAGTAAATAACTTTCTAAAATAACTTCACCTTTTAAAAGTAATTAATAACAAAAATTACATTAAAAATATGTTAATACATTACCATTTCTATGTAGTTGAATTCTTAATTAAGTAATGATAGGTCATCTTTCCTTAAAAAAATGATAGGTCAATTACTAAATATGTTTATTTTTCCTCTACCTTGCATGAGTTCCTTTTTGTTTAAAGAAAAGTTTGTATAGAAGAAATAGGAAAACACTTATCACTTTTTAAATTAATTAAGTTTTACCTTCTAAAAATGCATTCATAGAAAAGTATATTATTTTTAAAAAAATACATTGTCATTTCTATATTCTTGAATTCTTATTTATAGGTCAATTAAAAAATTGATGATTTTTTTTTGTTAACAAATTATAAGTAAATTAATTAGTAGGTGATTTTTTTCATCAACAAATATTACTCTTATATATATATATATATATATATATATATATATATGTAATTATCTTGTTCTTAATTAAAGATAGATAACTATATAGAGGAAATGGGAGAAAAAATATGTGTTTATCTTCTCCCATATATCAATACTATATTGCTTTTAAAAGAGGGAGAAAGAAATACTATAGAGGAAATGATTAAGAAACTAATAATAAGCATTGATTATATTATTTGTGTTCAATTATTTTCTTCATTATTTCTTTTGGCGTCTTCTGATAGTTATGTCCTTTTCTTAAATAATTATGATTATTTCCCTTTTTTTAATGTTGAATTTTTAAAACAATGAATAAAAATAGTTCATAATAATTTGCAAAAACATATATATTCAATGCTCTTCATTTTGAAACATAAGTTTTTAGAGCTTTTCATTTCAAATTGAATTTACTAAGAGAAATAAACTTACATTGATGAAGACACATAAACTGAACATTAAACATAGCTTAAAACTAATCATCTTTAAATTATCATAATGTATTCTTAAAAAGATTTAAATCAATACTTGATATGCATGAAAGTGAAAGTTACTATTGAGAGCAAAACACCACAATCTTAGAGTGTTTTAAGATAATAATTCGTAGTTATTTTTTACTCGACTTTCTAGATTCTAATGGAAATGACGCTATAACTAAACATAAATAGTATGTATAAATAATTTAATATCATTTATTCTAAATTGATTTTAAATACAAAAATAAAATAATAATCTTAAAAGTTATTAATTAAAAATTTATATTTTGTCTATCCTATCAATTAAACCGCCTACAAAATTTTACAAATATTTTTTTAAAATTTTTTTTATCCATCTTATCAATTATATAGACACACGGATTCATAAACATTGTGGACTATCAATAATTCTAAGTAACCTTTACAATTTTTATTATTTTTTTTTCAAATATTCTATGCATTATTTTTAAATAACTACGAGAATATTTTAAAACAATATATATGACCTTTTGTAGCATTTTTGTGAAGTTTTCAGAGTGTCTTTCTCTGTCAATTATCTTTTACTCTTTTTTTCAAAAAGTAAGAAAAAACGAGTTTTTAATTGCCTAAAAGAAATATTTTCTAATTAGATATTTGATTAACTATATGCGTATATTCATGGAAGTTATCATAATCGATTAGTTAAAAAAATNATTTATTCTAAATTGATTTTAAATACAAAAATAAAATAATAATCTTAAAAGTTATTAATTAAAAATTTATATTTTGTCTATCCTATCAATTAAACCGCCTACAAAATTTTACAAATATTTTTTTAAAATTTTTTTTATCCATCTTATCAATTATATAGACACACGGATTCATAAACATTGTGGACTATCAATAATTCTAAGTAACCTTTACAATTATTTTTTTTTTTTCAAATATTCTATGCATTATTTTTAAATAACTACGAGAATATTTTAAAACAATATATATGACCTTTTGTAGCATTTTTGTGAAGTTTTCAGAGTGTCTTTCTCTGTCAATTATCTTTTACTCTTTTTTTCAAAAAGTAAGAAAAAACGAGTTTTTAATTGCCTAAAAGAAATATTTTCTAATTAGATATTTGATTAACTATATGCGTATATTCATGGAAGTTATCATAATCGATTAGTTAAAAAAATGAAGATTTATATATTAATTTATGTGTAAAATATTGAAAATTTCAAAGATAAAATTAATTTATAATAAGTGAATGAAATTATTATTTTATTAGTAAGTTTTTTAAAATTAAACTATCTAAATTTATTTTTTAAATGATATTAAAAATCATGAATTAAAATTTATCATAATAAAATGTATTGTTTGTTGATGTATTAATTTGTTTTTTTATCTAATTAATTTTTTTAAAAAAATATATACAAACATTTATAAGGATGAAAGAGACTTAAAACACACTCTCCTAATTATGTTGTTATTAATAACTAAATTAGCTATGCAACATTTAATAATAGGGAATGGCTTTCCGTAAATACTTGGAAGCCATTTTACTGTATAACACCATTACATAATCATTGTGTTACTTAGCATTTAAATTGCTAGTTGATCTTATTTATATAATATAATCATTGATTTCAGAAAAACCATGAACATGTTCAAACGAAATCATGTTGTTCGTGATTCTTATCTGGAATAACTTTTAAATTATACATATTCACAAGTGAAACTCATAACCGCGAGATAGCCAGATTTCGAATTCCGGACATATTTATTTTAATGTTTTTTTTAGAGAAAAGTTAATGTAAGAAATATTTAATATAATTAAAAAATAAATAAATAGATAAATTATTTTACTATTGTTCATATTTTTATGATTTCTTAATTTTATGGATAAAAATTGTTTATGGAGGAATAATTCTTAATTTTATTACATTTATTTTAGTTTAATAAAATTTATTACTATTTATATCTTATTTTTAATAAAATTTATTATTTTTTAGTCTCTTATAACTATAAGAGAAAAAGACACAACAAACACAACACAATCATAAAAGTATTTGTCCGGAATATCATGAAACTCGTATATAATGAACAAAATTAACTTTAGCAACTCTACATGTAAATTATACATTAAAACTATGCTTAATTTAAATATATTAACATTTAAAATTAGAATACATATTTATGTCATTTGTTGAACTTTTATGTTAAATAAGATGTACTTGATAATTTTTAATGAGAATACTATTTGTTTGGATAATTTTTTTTAAATAATTTTAAAAAAATAAAATTAGTATGTTCATATTAAGCTAATAATAAATTAAGTTGTAAAAATTATTTCGTATATTTTTTAAAAAATTATTTTTAGTTTGTTAATAAGTTATTTTTAGTTCATGAAAAAAATTATCTTTTAAAAATTTACGATTTCATGGAAAAGTTCTTTAAAAATACTTTAAATTCAAAACAAGGAAAAAGAAACTAAATAAATAAATGTTGCATTAATAAGCGGAAAAATTATATGTAGGAAAATTTTATTATATTGCCATAATTTTATAACTATATGATTTTCTTAAGGTAAATATACTTAATTGGGTTAAATATATTTTTAGTTAATTAATTGAAAATAATTAATTTGTAGTCATTCAACAAATTATCATTTTAGTTCTCTAAAACGCATAGTTATTTTTCTAATTATTTAGAAAAACTTAAATCGTTTTCTTTTAGAAAATAAATGTACGATGAAGTAGGGTAAGTGAGAGAAAAATTCAGATGTATATAAAAACTTGTGTTGACAATTCAATATATATATATATATATATATATATATACACTGCTACAATTTTGAAGATATGTACATTGCCTCCTACTTTGCTGCTACAGTTTTGAAGATATGGTGTGTTCAGTTCTAAAGTTTGCTTCAAATACCTGAAATGAAAAAAAAAACTGTGGAATAAGTTGAATTCTTTATTAGCAGAATTTTCTAACAAACAAAGAACTAGCAGACATCTAGAAAACAATTTTTTCCATAAATATTTTTAAAACAGAAAAAAAAATATTTGAGTTTTTTATGTGCACAAGTTAAAAAAATAAAAATTCATAAAAATTAGGTGAGGAAATTTATAAAAAATAATTTAAATATAAACTCAATTTAACGAGAAAGATTTTTTTTTTCTATTTTAGAAGAGTTTATAAAAAAAGTTAAACACGGTGAAAATTTTAGTTACAAATGTGATAGAATCTAATTCTATAACCATTGTAGTTATTGGGAAGGGAAGAATTATTAGCATTTAACAAATAAAAGCTTCATAATTATAACTAGAAATTTTAATTTTTTATTTTAATTCTCAACATATTAAAATTAAAAGATTTTTTCTCACATTTTTTTAAAATCAAATTGTAGTCCTTAGATCTACACTTTTTCCTCTCTACAATTTCAAAATTAGGATATATAAAACATATTTAAAACTATTATTGACATCAGGATTAAATATATATAATATTTACGGGTTGAACTTCAAATACAAATAAGCAAACTAAAAGTCGTTACTATATTAGATAATTGTATGCTCTTTTTGAAAGAAAAAAAAAACCCTAATCATGTGCAAATCAATAATCATAAACCTACCTTCAAAGTTCTTACCTTTTCCACTTTTTTATGGTTTTGGTTTCTCTTTCTAAATGATCCTGTTTGATTGAGAAAAGTTCATAACTGATTAGGCAGTTTCAACGTTCTCAGAATTAGCACCAGGATATACATTTTTTAGATCCTTAAGTAATTGTAACTTCTCAATCTCCTCATCTTTAACCGAAATAGTGTCCTTCAAAGAAGCCACCTGAAAATTCAAGTATAAATTTGAACAAGTTCTTATAAGAGACTACGAAAAAATAGATGCCATATCATAATGTATTTGATATATTCATAAACGATAGGAAATTATAATTATATTTTGACATACATAAATTTTTTATATTTAACCAATTATATATCTGAATGATATCATTATTTATCCAAAACATTAAGACAATGGATTAATGGGTCTTTTATCTTTATATAATGTTTTACTTTTTTATTTCTATCCAATGTGAGACTTAAGACTCATACTTGGATTTCTAACAAAATAAATGTAAAAGTGCCTTATGATACCGTTTCTTAAATATAAAAGTTTATTTTTTTATATCATTTTACTTTTGTATTTTGTATCAAATGAATGGAAGCGTATCTCATGGTATCTTTCTTCTAAGACGGTTGAAAAGGAAGTAAGAACCATCTAAATAAATTTAAGCACCTGTTCCATTAATTCTCTAACATCTCTTCCTTCTTTGCTACTTTTAGCAGCTCCTAACTCAACTCCGGAAACCCTCTCAGCAAACTTTAAAGTACTCAAAGATTCAGAAAAAGACTTTACATCAGAATTAATTTGGACCAACATGAGTGTTTTTGCTTGACCACCTGTGCGACGAAAAATAGAATGTTACCTCATCAGAAAAAATTGATACAGAAAACCTTAATTTTTCACTTTTTTTTGAGGATGCTAGTTAGACAAGACAAGACATCTTGGCAACAAGAAATGATGATTTTACCAAGAGATGTTTGCAGAAGTTGAGTGAGCTTGCTATTTCTATATGGCACATGAGCAGTCTTCTGAGAAAGTGCAAAAATGACATCTCCAAGAGCAGATAGTGATTTGTTGATATGTTGTGCTTCCTTGAGTCTATCCCCAGTTACTTCAGAGCGATCAACTCTTTCACTTCCTGCTAAATCTACCAAATGAAGATTACCATGAAGAGAGGAACCAGCCTTTTTATCCATCCCACGAACATGAATTGAGACAACACTGTATACACACATTTAATGAAACATTATGGTAGAAAGCTATTATTACATTGTTAAATTGTGAAGAGAGTGAAAACACAAACCTGTGAGAACGACTACTTCTTTCGTTCATAGCTGTCGAACCCTTAGCTCTATTTTTCAGACCAATGTCCATTAGCTTTATGACATCTTCAGGTGATTTCACAGGTTGCATGGTAGCATCAGGCACTGCTAATCCATTTGGTTGAGCATTACTCAGTATCCCAAGTGTGTGTAAATCAAGGAAATCATCGTTCAGAGACATCACATGCTATTTTTTTTTCTCTAAAAAAGTAAGAGAAAGAGAAAAGAAGTTCATGCTAGAAAAAGGATATTTCTTTGAAGCATCAGTTGTTAATAAGTCTCGAACTTGTTCATTGTATATCTCAATTACTTGAACACCAATCTCATACTCTATGGAGCTTTTTCTACTTGTAGATATGCTGAAGAGATCATTAAGAGCTCGATAGTTAACACCAACAGTCTCGGGTGTTGCATTATTTGGACCACTCTGAAAAACAATGGCAACATATATAAAAACATAATAAGATCAAAGTTTGAGATAGTGATGAAAACGAAAACATATATGGTTAACCCAATGACAATATGCTGAGAAAAAGTTGCATACCATTGTGAAAGTTTTCCCTGAACCAGTTTGACCATAAGCAAATATACATACGTTATACCCATCCAATACTGATCGTATGAAGGCTTGTATGTCAGCATACACCCCAGCTACATCATTCAAGTGAGAAAATCCAAATGAAGAAATGGAGTCAACATGCATAGATATTATATTATGAAGTTGTAAAAGTTCATTCATTCAAAACCTTATGATAAAATGGAGATTATAGAGAAATATAACCTTGAGTTGAGGTTGGACCATAGACCTTATTGAACTTAAATGTTTTAAGGCCTTCCTTTCCTGGTTTGGAAGGATTTGCCACAACCAACTCAGTTTCACCAATGTGTTCCACAATAGATTGTTTTTCCTTTTGACCAGGAAGAAATGGTCTAAGTCGACAATATACTCTTATATTTCCTATATCAGAGAAAAGTCCCATGTAAATTCACAGCACATACCTCCATCTATTAACTGTTGGACAAACATAAACAGTGCTACCTTTTAATTCTTGAACTTCATTGAACAGTTTTCGGTTTTCTGCAAGAACTATTTGATAATTCTCAGCTGCATCTACTAGTGGTTTCAGATTTAAACCTAAACAAGTTACTACAGTTATTAACTGGTCAAAGAAAACAAGAAAATTTGGAGGGTGAGCATAAAGTGTAATGTAACATACCTAACTTTTTACATTCCTCAGAGTAAATAATTTGCTCTTTCAAAGCATCTTGCTTGATAGATTCCCATGATAATTTCAATGTCTGAATTGCAAGTTCGATAGAATATTGTAACAGTTGACATCACTATAATAAGATTGACATTTCGTTGTATATAAGTTTAGTTACCTTTATGGAACTGAACTGAATATTCACATCTTTTCGTATCTGGTTCTCTTTCTGCATCCACTTCTGATATTTTGACTCGTAAAGGGTTTCATTCTCTTTAACCTTATTTCTTAGTTTTTCCAACAAATTTTCGTATTCTTGTGATTTCTCTTTCAGCTCTTCTTTACCAGCCTCCACTTTTGCTTCCCATTCTGAGCATCGTACTTCATGTGTTCTTTTCGTTGTTTCTAGTTCTTGCTTAAATGATGAAATTTCCATACTTTTGTCCTCTACCTCTTTCATATATTTCATAATTTCTTTCTCATTCGCCATTTTTTCATCTTGAGCTTTTGCTTTCAGTTCTGAGCATTGTGCTTCATATGCTTCTTTCGTTGTTTCTAGTTCTTGCTTAAATGCTAAAATTTCCATGTTTTTGTCCTCTAGCTCTTTGGTATATTTAATAATTTCTCTCCCATTCGCCATTTTTTCCTCTTCAGCGTTTGCTTTCAGTTGTGAGCACTGAACTTCATGTGTTTTTTTCATTGTTTCTAGCTCCTGTTTAAATGCTGAAATTTCCATATTTTTTTCCTCTAGCTCTTTGATATATCTAATAGTCTCATTCCCATTTGCTATTTTTTCCTCTTCAGTTTTTGCTTTCATCTGTGAGCATTGAACTTCATATGTTTTTTTCATTGTTTCCAATTCTTGCCTATATGCAGAAATTTCCTTATTTTTTTCCTCCAACTCTTTAATATAACTGATAGCCTCTTTTCCATTTTCCATCTTTTCCTCCTCAGCTTTTGCTTTCAGTTGTGAGCATTGTACTTCGTATGTTTTTGTCACTGTTTCTAGTTTTTGCCTCAGTGTTGAAATTTCCATATCTTTGTCCTCTAGCTCTTTAATATATCTACTAACCTCTTTACCCTCTTCGTTCTTTTTCTCCTCAGCTTTTGCTTCCAACCGTGAGCATTGTACTTCATATTCTTTTTTCATTGTCTCTAGCTTTTTGATTAGTATTGAAATTTCCATATTTTTGTCCTCCAATTCTTTAATATATCTGATAGAATCTTTTCCATCTGTCACGTTCTTCTCCTCAACTTTTGCTTTCAACTGTGAACACTCTACTTCATATGTTTTTGCCATCGTTTCTACTTTGTCTAGTTTTTGCTTCAACGTTGAAATTTCCATGTTTTTGTCCTCTAATTCTTTAACATATCTGATAGAATCTGTTCCATCTGTCATGTTCTTCTCCTCAACTTTTGCTTTCAACTGTGAACACTGTACTTCATATGTTTTTGATATTGTTTCTAGTGTTTCTAGATTTTTCCTCAACGTTGAAATTTCAATGTTTTTGTCCTCTAACATTTTCATTACATCTTTCTCATCTGTCATCTTTCCCTCCTCGGCTTTTGCTTCTAATTTTAAGCGTTGCTCTTCACACGTTTTTTTCATTGTTTCTAGTTTCTGATTTAATGTTGAAATTTCCATAGTTTTGTCCTCTAACTCGTTAATATATCTATTAATCTCTTTGCCATCTGCTCTATTTTCCTCCTTAGTTTTTCGTTCCATCTGTGAACATTGTACTTCGTATGTTTTTTTCATCGTTTCTAGCTTTTGTTTCAATGTTGAAATTTCCTTAGTTTTATCCTTCAACTCTTTAATATATCTCATAACCTCTTTGTCGCATTCCCTCTTTTCTTCCCTTTTAGTGTTCTCAATTAGGTTCACATCATTTTCCTTTTCTTCTTGCATTTTAGTCATCCTAGTTTGTTTTAATTCATCTACCTTCTTTTCTTCTTTTTCAATCCTCTCAGTCTACATGAAAAGGCCAAAGAACATGATTCATTTTTTTTTGTTAGCTACAAAACACAAAAATTTAATAGGATTCTCTCATATTTTATGTCTAGAAGTGCATACATATGTTACTTGTAAGCAAGAAACATTACCTTCAAATGTTGAAGTTGGTTTATGCTAACAATCTGTCAGAAAAAGGTTCCTATGATAAGTAGAAAAGCTTGTATTTTGTACTGATATATGTACTTTGTATTAATTCACATGCAGAATGATATCCAAAGCTATTCAGTATACCTCTCTTTCTTCCTCAGTTCCAGATGCAAGAGCTTCAAGGACTCTGATTCTTGAGTGATATTTTTCTTCACGGGCCTTAAAAATATTGTTTTGCTGAAGGTAAAAAGGAACATAGCACAGTGAAAAAAACAACTGAGAAAAACAAAGACTAACCAGCTTTTGAAAATCATGCAACTTTAACGTACAGTTTTTAAATGTTCTGCTTGAGTTGATATACGTCGCTCAATCTCTTGCACAACCTTTCTCAATAAGCAAGCCACACGCTGAGATATAAAACATCATTGTTACACAATACACTTTAAATTACATGTGTAGAAAATTTTGCATGCACTGATATCTTATTATTAGGATAAACTTCTCCATTAATATTTGATGAAGATAAAACCCAAATGAATTGAGTATGTAAAAAGTTCTTCTTGTTTAACTTCTCTGAAGGTTAAGGTAGATAGATAAGTTTTTCCTTATTTTCTTCTCTCAGAAGTGCTTATGAGTACATTTATCCAAATAATATAGACTTGTTCTTTTTCATGAATGCATTTGTTATTTATTTATTACTTGGGGTATTTCGCCATTTCTTCTTTCAACACTTTCTTCCAAAATACCATTCACCACACTCAAAAGCGACTGAGTAGGAGCATTCTGCAACAACAAATGCTAAAACAAATCAGTGATGTAGAAAAAATGTGAATTGTGCAAATCTTTGAAGGGGGTGAGAGAAAAGAACAGGAGAGCTTACATCCAAGCTAGTTGATTTCATCAGTTCTGAAATTTTGGCTGAAGGATGATCAGCATAGCTTCCTTGTTTTACTCGAAACACCTCAGGAAACTTGTTAGAACCTACTTGGTTTATTAACGTTGGTGATGGCTCTGCATAAGATGCGAAATAAGTATCATAAACACTAATATTTGGTTTTCAGAATCACAAAACATAGCCATATGAAAAATGCTTAAAAATTTGGTATTTCATCTTCATCTCACCATGTTTATAAGCATCGAAACATGCTGGAAAAGGTAAAAATTTCATCGTACCTGCCATAAGTGGACTGTGTAAAACACGTTGCAGCTTTGTTCCTGACAAAACCTTCCTCTGGGGTGAGTTAACTCCATTATTGATATTTGAACCTGAATTTCCCAGGTCTCTTGGTTCTATATTGTGGTTATTTGATGGTGGATTCATCACTATAGTTGAATTTTGTTGAAACAACACTTCATACATTAATGCGTAGATGCATCACAATAACGTCGTCCATTGTTTCATATCACCCCATAAACTATTCAAAACGTAAATCATGTCAAAATTACCTCCATTAAAGCAATAGTAAAAATCATGGTACTGGTACTAAGGATTAAATTATACAATATGTTGTCGTAAATGCTCAACTTTTCAACAGTTATGCTCAAATAATATTACATCATCCTTAAACAATTTGCAGTATCAGTTGCAGACAACACATTTTGAATTTAATCAAGCTTCATCTCACCATGAATATCAAAGCTACTAACATGGATATTGTGTAAAGCATCAAAACCAGAGAATCCAACCTTGAAAATGTTAACATTGATGAAATGTTCTTGCTGCGGCGAGAGTTGAGTCAAAACCAGATGAATATCAATTGGATTTTTCTGCGTGAATATAGTTAGATATGATAAAAATAATAATTTATCAGGTAAGGGAAATTTTGGTTTGGATTTGTGAGAGAGAAAGAAAAAGGGGTTCCTCAAAAATAGGAGAGCAATTGCATGAACACCATTGCATGAATGATTTGCGTCACAATCATTGTAGTGAAAGAACACCATTGCATGAATGTCTCTCCAAAAAGAATTTGGATCCTTTAAAGTGTTTCTTCTCACTTTAGAGAATAGAGTTATTTATGTATTTATTATTTCATGGTTTAAATTGATTTATTTTAAAATTATAAACCAAAATCTCAAACAAAAGTAAATAGTATATAATTTTATCTTGTTCATTTACTACACATTCTTCATTTCTTATCATTTCCACCAAAATAAAATAACTCACAATTAAAACAATTTTAAAATATCCACAAATAAAAGGTGAAAAAAATAATCTCAATATCTTAAAGTGTTGAAGAAAAAAAAATCACAACTCTATTATAAGTCAAGGGAAATCCTAACAATTAATAAATGATTATTGATGTAATTGGAGATACATATTTATTATTGATAGTCAAACATACGAGTCATACTCAAAGTGAATAATATCATTTCAAACCTAAAATTTTATTATAAAAATGTCAAACTTTTTCATTTCCGTCTAACAATTTTTATTTTCAATTTAAAGGATATTTTTTTCATACCTAACTAATTTCTTCTTCCATATAAATTATTAAACTTAAGAAGAATTTCAAAAATGTTTCTTCTGATCTTAAAAAAAAAAGGTTAGAATATAGAGACATGTTGTTTATAAGAATTAATCAAAATATTCTAACAAGAACGTGTATTTCTTAAAGTATGATAACACAAGAACATATAGTAATACCCAGTATCTTCATTCGGGCATGTAGCTCTATTTCAGCATATAAAATTCATCATCGAACTTTGACTATCTTAAAGGACTTGAAAGCTATATATAAAGCCACGAAATTTAGTTTATTATATATATATATATATATATATAT